ATGGATTGCACCTCAATGTAAATAAAACAAAAAAATCCTCATTACTGCACAATAAATAACATCATGATGATTGGAAAAAAGATTGAAGTTGTCAAAGATTTCATTTTGCCTGGATCCACAGTCAAGAAATCCGATGACATATTGCATTAGGCAAATCTGTTGCACGAGACTTCTTTAAAGTGTTGATGAGCAAAGATATCAGTTTAAGGGATAAGGTGTACCTGACCCAAGCCATGACATTGTCAATAGCTTCATATGCATGTGGAACTTAGAGAAAGAATCAGAAAGACCAAAGAAGAGTCGGTTTGAGTTATGGTGTTTGTGAAGATTATAGAAAATATCACGGAGTGCCATTTGTCATGGAAAAAGTACAGCCAGAATGCTCCGGAGAAGTGAGGATGGCCACACTTCATCTCTCACTCTTTGGACATGTTATCAGGAGGAACCAGTCCCTGGAGAAGCGCATCATACTTGGTAAAATGGAGGCAGACCCTCCAAAGAGATGTATTGGTACAGTGACGTCAACAGTGGACTCAAATTTAACCACTGAAAACATGGTGCAGGACTGGGCAGTGTTGTATTCTGTTGTGAGTCAGGGTTAAGTTAGAACTGGCTAGACAGCACCTAACAACAGTGATGTTTTGATGCAGGTTACAAAGTAGCACTTATGCTATTATGAAACATTATGTTGTTGTTATGTGCCGTGGAGTCGGTTCCGACTCATAGTGACCCTGTACAGGGTTTCCGAGGCTGTAAATCTTTACGGGAGCAGAAAGCCTTATTTTCCTCCCCTGGAACAACTGGTAGTTTCCAACATTATATGTACCTTTAAATTGTAATATACAAGTTCTTTGGTTCGATAACTACAAACAGCTGTAACTACTACACTACCAGAACACCTTCTACTGTAGGTTTGTTGTTGTGAAGTGCCGTCGAGTCAGTTCCAACCCATAGCGACCCTGTATAAGGAGCACTTGATAAGCTTGAACCACTGACTTTACAATTCAAATGGCTTTGCAGTGTGACACATTAACCCACAGCGCCACATAGGTAGAGTGTTATAAACAACAAAAGGTATTGTACTATACAAACACCAATATTCCTTAACGTCCCCAAGACTTAAAAGGCTGAGAGGAACAGTTGGCAGAACCTGGAAAAATAACTATGAGATGAGCGCCACCTACAGGAACTGTACATGGAACAACCCTGCAGGGAAAGAGCTGGAGGAATAAATACCGTCTGCCCTCTATGTCCCTCTCTGGTTTTCCCCACTCACTTAAATGGAACCAGAAGACAAGGGAATCCATTGATGTCAGCAGGACAGGGGAGAATATTGAGTGTATTTGGAGGGTTTCAGTTTGAGAACCAAGAACCTCAGCTGCTGGGCTCTTTCTAGAGCTAATACTATTTTTCTTAAATCTATAGGAGTCGTAAGGAGCTCTGGTAGCGTAGTGGTTACGAATCAGGTTGCGAACCTTAAGGTCAGAAGTTCGAAACTACCAGCCACTCCGCGGGAGAAAGATGAGGTTTTCCGCTCCTGTAAAGATTTACAACCTTGGAAACCCTGTACAGGGTCACTATGGTCGGAACACTCGCCGGCACTCAACAACAACAACATAGGAGTCCTGGTGTGGCGCTGTAGACTGTCAGACTGCAAAGTCGTTTGAACTGAAGAGTCAGTGGTTCAAACTCCTTGGAAACCCTATACAGGGTTGCTATGGATCGGAATCCACTCAAAGGCACTTAACAACAACAACATAGGAGTCCTGGCATGGCTCTGTAGGATAAGCACTAGACTGCTAACCACAAAGTCTGCAGTTCAAACCCACCAGCTGCTCCTCAGAAACCCTATACAAGGTAGCTATGAGTCAGAATCAACTTGATGGTGCTTAATAACAACAATCTCTAGTCCTAAGGGTCCTTGGTGGCGCTGTGGTTTAAGCACTAGACTGCTAACTGTAAGATTGCTCCTCCAGAGTAAGATGAGGCTGTCTGTTTCCATATAGATTTCAAGGCTCAGAAACCCTATGGAGGGCCATGATGACTCACAGTTGACTCAGTGGCAGTGGGTTGGGTTTGGCTCCTCGTCAAAACCACCTTGCAGTTCAAACTGACCTTGCAGTCCAGGGCATTATCCCACAGTGCCAGACCAGGACTCCTCGGGAAACCTTAGCTCTACTTAAAAAAAAAAAGTCCTTTCAACTAATTGACTGAGACCACCGGAATGATCTAAGATACTGCCCACGTTGTTGTTAGGTGCTGTTGAGTTGGTTCCAACTCATAGCACAGCTCCTTGGAAACCAGGCCCGGTCCTGCGCCATCCTCACATCCTTCCTGTGTCTCAGCCATTGGTGTAGCCCGTGTGTCCCTCCAGCTCACTGAGGGTCTTCCTCTTATGTACCTGCCCTCATCTGTATAGGAGGCTGGAAGCCCGATGCCTGGGGCTACCTCTAGGGAAAGGCTTTCTCTGTCTTTTGGCTCTGGGAAAGGTCTTTGTCTTTTTCAGCCCCTCCCTTATTTGGTTCCTTGGTTCCTCCTGTGGCATCTACCACCCCCAAGTCCCCGGTACCATTGAGTCGATTCTGACTCATAACAACCCTGATAAAACAGAGTAGAACTGTGCCTTAGAGTTTCTGGAACTGTAAATCTTTATAGAAAAAAATAGTTTCATCTTGCTCCTTCAAAGCAGCTGGTAGGTTTGAACTGCTGACTCCGTGGTTACCAGCTCAATGCTTACTTAACCCGCGGCACCACCAGGGCTCATTTGGTATCTACTGGGATAAAGCACTGGAATGCATAGTTGACTTGAACCACAGAGTAGGCAGTTCAAACTCACCAGCCACTCCTTAGAAACCCTATACAGGGTCGCTATGAGTCGGAACCGACTCAACAGCATTTAACAACAAAATACGTGTTGGAGTCCTAGTGTGGTGCTGTAAGATAAGCTTCTGGACTGCTAACGGCAAGATCGGTGGTTCGAGCCCACCAAGCTGCTCCTTGAAAACCCTATACAATGTTGCTATGAGTCAGAACCAAGTTGATGGCACTTAACAAGACTAACAATGTAAATGTGTGGTGGTGTCCTGCCCCCTATCCCTGTGGGTGTAATCCCATGGGGAATGGGGTGTTCTTTGTTGTTAGTGTGGGCCTGTCAGTGCGGGGTGAGACCTAAACCTAGTCACTTCCAAGTTCGGAGGAGTGTTTTACGCACAGATTGCATCACCAATGGGATGAAAAGATAACAGAATTCTTCCAAGAAGTTATGAAGCCCCCTAGTAGATGCCAGAGTCCTGGTATGGTGCTGTAGGATAAGCACTAGACCACAAAGTCAGTTCCAACTCATTTCAACCCTGTATAGGGTTTCCAAGGACCGGCTGGTGAGCTTGAACCACCAGCCTTGCAGATCAACCAACTTTACAGTCCAGCCCATTAACCCACAGCACCACACCAGGACTCCAACACATATTTTAGGAGGACCCAATTAAGTCCATCACATCAAAGGATTAAGGGAGAACTTGAATTGTTTGAACTTGGAAACTTGGAGGAGGAACCCTCTGGAGCTGGACCTTGGGCCTTGGACCCCTAAGGAGGTGTGCTGGCTGATGGGGATCTCTGAGCTCAGAGAAGGAACCTGAGAGCCGGACTTCTGATGCAGAGACAGCAGCGGGCTGGGGCTGGTGTTGGTGAGGTGGAACATAATGAAGCCGGTTCTCCAGGTGTAGGAAAACAGCAACGTGGATTCAGTGTGGAAAACAACTGCTATTGGGGTGAAGTCGCATTATTGGGGTGATACAAGAACAGGAAGCCAACAAGAAGGAGCAAGTCCCTTCTTCCGCGACTAACTGCAAAATCTCTCTACCCCCATTATCAGAACATAGTGTAGCACCAGCTGGCAAAGCAGAAATGTGGTTTCAGATTCCAGCGTCAGATTGCAAACCTGCTGCCACCGAGTCAACTCCAACTCACAGAGCCCCGAGGGTTCCCAAGACTAAATCTTTACAGGTGCAGGCAGCCTCAGCTTTCTAACAAGGAGCTGATGGTAGGTTCAAACTTTGAACCTTGTGGTTAGCAGCTTAGTGCTTAATCCACAGTGCCACCAGGATCCTTTCAGCTTTGCTTAAAAGCAAAAGGTTAGAGCAGAGAGCCATTAGCTTGAAGGTTAACAGGGCGTCCAGCTTTGCCCTTGTCCCAGTGGTCCTTGGTTTGGAGGATGGATGTGGTGTGTGCTTGGCGTTTTAGGAAACAGTGACATTCAAGGACGTGGCTGTGGTCTTCACAAAGGACTCGCTGGGGCTGCTGAACAAGGCCCAGATAGTCCTATACCGAGACATGATGCTGGAGAAGTTCAGAAACCCCGTCTCACTGGGTGAAGACAGCCCCCTTCTGGGATTAAACCTCAAGCCACTGGGCATGTTTTCTCAGATGATCAGTTTCCAGACAGAACGTCCCTGCTGGGGCGCAGAGAAGAACACTGACCGATGGAGAGAAAACTCCAAAGAGATGACTGTGCAGGTAAGAACCCTGCTATTGGGATTGATTCACAGGTAAGTAGGAGCCATGGCCCCTTGTGAAGGCAGTGAGGGGCTCCCTTCAAACCCTGCCGATGGACCTGGTTGATGTGGTCAGTGAGTCCCATCACCCCCCTTACTTCCTTACACAGTTAGACTATCATTCTTCCCTCATGTATCTTGGCATCAGGTTGGTAAAAGTTTGCACATCACCAAGCACCTTAGTTGGTGCCTTTGATTTGGGCCTGGGATCTGGTTAAGTGCAATAGGAAGTGTGGGCTTGTGTTTTAGTTGTCTGTTGTTAAATGCTGTCAAATTGGTTTTGACTCAAAGCGGCCCTGTATAGGGTTTCCAAAGAGTGGCTGGTGGGTTTGAACTGCTGACCTTGCAATTAGCAGCCCAACGCTGGCCCTACAGTGCCACATTTACCTGGTTGGTAATGTGCCGGGGAGTCGGTTCCAACTCAGAGCGACCCTGTACAGGGTTTCCGAGACTGGTAATCTTTACAGGAACAGAAAGCCTCATCTTTCTCCCACGGAGTGGCTGGTAGTTTCAAACTACTGACTTTGAGGTTAGCAGCCCGACTCGTAACACTACGCTACCTTACAGTGCCACACTAGGACCTCTTATTTATCTTGTTAAGTGCCATCAAGTCAGTACCCACTCATAGCAACCACAGTGCCACACCAGGATTCCTCTTCATTATCTAGTGTTACTAAAATCACAAGGCGCACAGTAGCTCCATAGGATAAGCACTGGATTGCTAACCCCAAGGTCAATGGTTCAAGCCCACCAGCCACACCATGGGCGAAAGATGACGCTTTCTGCTCCCACAAAGAATCATAGCTTTGGAAACTCAACAAGGTCTCTATGAGTCCGAACCAACTCCAAATGAACTCGATAGCACTCAACAAACTGAAATAAACGTGGGTGGCTTTAACACACAGGAATCTTATCTCCGTGTAGGAGGCTAAAAGTACCAGCTCTAGATGAAGATTGGCTTTCTCTGTTGACTGACTTCTCTGCCCTGTCTTTTCTGAATTCCTGCTCCTGGAAGAGCTTCCTGAGGCTCAGCATCTCAGCTTCCTAATCGGCTCCTTTGATACTTTGTGTGGCGCAAACTCAATACACAGCCTCCACGAATCCTGCCTCAGGATAATAAGGATGACCCATTCATAAACAGGGTTATAAGCACAGGGTGAGATAGGATTTGGCAGCGCACATTGAGGGGATATAGTTTGATCCATAACAGTTTTGTTTATTCATGGTGGGTAAATATCTAACCCATTTTCAAGTCCTCAGAGGCTCTTGTTGTTAAGTGCTATCGGGGAAGTTCTGACTCATAGCAACCATCTATAGGGTTTCCAAGAAGCAGCTGGTGGGTTTGAACTGCCGACCCTGGGTTTGCAGTCCAGTGCTGATCCACAGTGCCACACTAGGAGTCCTCAGAGGCACTTATATGAGGATGTTTCAAGAAAATTACAGAAAAATGGAATTTAAAGATAATAAAAATATTTCCACAAACTTTTTGTGACGCTGTAGGATAAGCACTGGATCACAAGGTCAACTTGAACCACAAGGTACAGTTCAAACCCACCATTCACTCCTTAGAAATCCTGTACAGGGTCGTTATGAGTCAAAACCGCCTTGACAGTATTTAACAACAACATATAACTTATAATTTGCCATTTTATACATTTATACAATTCCGTGTTGTTAAGGTCACAGTGCTGTGAAACCATCCCATCTCTCTCTAAACTTTTTCCAAATCTTTCCAAATGTCTTCATGACTCCAAATGGAAACTCTGTACCCACTACGCAATACCTCCCTCCTCCCAGGCCATAGTAACCTCGAATCTACTTGTATGTTCACGTTAACTTCTTCTATATAATTCGTCGTGGAGTTCTGGCACTGATTTTATTTTATTTCGTTTTTATTGTGAATAATGTGATAGTTTACATGGGAGAACACCAGCTTTACATTCATCCTATCATATATCGTTTCATTGCAATGATTACAATCTCCTCCATGCATCATCGAACAACCAAAGGGTATACCCTACACGCCTGCCCCCCAACTGTCAGCACACAGCCCCTCTCCCTCCCTGAGTCTAGAGTTCCCAGCTGCTCCCTCTCTCCACGTCATTGTCTCTGCCTCCATTTCTGGCATCACTGCTTCTCTGGGTAGGGTCCCGCACTCTAGTCTTCTCACTTAATGGTCCCAGGGTCCTCTGCTCCTGGACTGCAAAGTCAACCACTCCCCTCCTTTTGCTACAAAATGTCTACCTTTATATTTCCAACCCTCACAGTCAGTCCTGATAGCAATTATTCACTATAGTACCACAAGCGTCTTATCCCCATCTCCTTTCATCAGCCCCGTCCCAACAGATTGGAAACCACTCAGTAGAGTCCATGAACTTTTGAAGCCCCTTACATATATTTATACTGCTGACAACAAAATAGTTAAAGCCTTTTTATCAACTTTTAAAGCAGGGAGGTGAATCTCTTCTTTGGACTTCCCAGCAACACCTGATTTCCAATTGGCATCTTGTTGAATAGAAAACAACGTCCTATCCTATCCAACTTCATCTTCGCCAAATATCGGGACCAATGATTTCTTTGTTCTCTCAACCAAATTCTCATGTTCTCATAAGATACAGGATTAAAAACAACATTTCAGATCTTTAGGAGAAAAGATTTAGCTCCCTCTCCCAGGAAGGGCTCAATTGGTGGCAGATTTGGAAGTAAGGATTTAGTGACGTAGCCAAGAGTCAGGATCATGCCAGAAATCTTCAAGGAGTGTGTCCCATATTTAGAAAAAGATCTTTCCCTCTGAAGACTGGGCGGGCGTGTCTTCAGATTTTAGAAGATGAAAACTATGTGGTAAATGCCATTAGTTTAGAAGATCCAACAGCTTGGAAGGCCTTGGCACAGGTCTCGACCCAGAATCTTGGAGAAAACCCAGCATAACGGCCAAGTCCTAGAATCCTCAGGGAAGATGTAAGAGAATCCACATAGAAAAGAAAGTGTGTGCCTGTGACTGGTGTATCGAGAGCTTTCAATGGGCATCATGTGATCATGATGCTTCCCAAGAATGTGAAGGAGAGGAACATTGTGGGTGCAAAGAAGGGGAAGAAACTTGGCTATGGAATCAACAAGTGGATGATAGTCCATCCAGCACCTTTCAAATGCAGTCACTGTGGAAGGGATTCGTAGATGATCCAAATCCTCACACTTACCTCAGCCCTCACATAGAAGAACTGTCTTATCCATGTGACCAGTGTGGCAAGGACTTGAGTGAAAGCTCAGATCTTGTTCACAATCTGGTCCTTTCAGAGAGTAAACATAACTACTGTCACAAGTCGGCAAAGGGTTGGACACAGAGCGCCCACCTTCCCAGACATCTAAAAGTCCCCTCAGGAGACAAGCCCTATAAATGTGATGAATGTGGTAAGGGCTTTCGGCGGACCTCCTCTCTGCACAGCCATCATGGAATCCATACAGGAATCCTACACAAGTGATGCCTGTGGTAAGGGGTTCCGCGTCAGGTCACTGGTCCGGATCCATCAGGGGGAAAACCCTGTAAGAGTGTGAAGAGTGTGGGAAGGCCTTTGACCAGAGCTCGAATCTTCTGGTCCCTCAGAGGGTGCACACTGGAGAGAAACCCTAAAAATGCAGCCAGCGTGGTAAGTGCTTTAGCTCCAGCTCCTTCCACCACGTCCACCAGCGGCTGCACATGGGGGAAAGCTGTATATGGCTGAGTGTGGGAAAGGCTTCAGCCTAAGCCCACACCTTCAGATTCACCAGGGAATGCATGCAAGCGAGAAACCCTACCGTTCAGTTTGTCACACTCACCAGCAAGTTCACAATGCCACGTGGGCAGAAAGGCTTCCCTTACTGCTCCCATTTTCATTCGCTTCAAAGAGACCACACTGGAAAGAAACCCTACCGATGTGATGCATGTGGGAAAGGCTTCAGCAGGAATTCCAGCCTTCACATTCATCTCTAGTCCACATGGAAGAGAAACCTCTAAGTGTAAAGAGTGTGGCAGGGGCTTCAGTCACAACCCTATCTCCTTGCCCGCCAGCAAGTGCACAGAGATGGGACACAGCAAATGTGTCATGAGAGTGCGAGGGTTTAGTTATTACAGCTCCGATGTGCTTTCTCATCGAAGACAGCAAACAAGGACGGACACCCTGTGTCCTAGTTGATGAGGGACATAGTCAGCCATTGGAAGGGCGGGAGGAGCAAAGGGCAGGGTCGTTGCCATTTATGGGGTCTGCCTATAGCACTGAAGTAGGCAGTTCTCAAGAACATTCCAGAAAACACCCATGAATCTGAAGAACCTCCGTGGAGCTCCCATGAACTGTCTTCTGCTGCGGCAGCAAGTGATTCTCTACAAATGGGCGGTTTGAAGCAGTAGCCAGAGTACAAGTGAAACTGCATGAAATCATCTACCCAGTGAAAGATGTTTTAATTGGGATGAATACGGTAAGGGCTTCTGCCTTTAGGTTTGTGAGAAATCCTTGGTGTGACACTGTAGGGTAAGCACTGGGCTGCTAGCTGCAAGGTTGGTGGTTTAAACCCACTAGCCGCTCCTTGGAAACTCCATACAAGGTCACTATGAGTTGGAACTGACTCAACACCACTAACCATCTATCTAGGGAGCCTGGTGTGACACTGTAGGATAAACACTGCACGGCAAACTAAAAGGTTGGGAGTTCAAACCCATCAGCTGTTCCTTGAAAATCTTATATAGGGTCTCTATGAGTCAGAACTGACTTGACTTCACTTAACAACTTAACAACAACATATTAAAAAGACATTGGTGTGAAGGCCATTCAAAAGTGTGCTCCGAAATGAAACACCTGTTACTAGTGTTATGAGAACATTCGTCTGTAGTTAGGTTTTCAGATCCACGAGACTCTACCAGTTTATTGTATCAAATCTGTTCTTCAGATGATCTCTAAATTCAGGTGGGATATGTTCAAGGTCATATTTTGGCTCTCGTGGACTTGTTTGCATTTTCTTGAGCTTCAATTTGAATTTGCATATGAGCATTTGATGGTCTGTTCCACAGTCTGCCCCTGGCCTTGTTTTGACTGATGAGATGGAGCTTTTCCATCGGCTCTTTCCGCAGATGTAGTCAATTTGATTTCTGTGTATTCCATCTGGTGAACTCCATGTGTATAGTCGTCTCTTATGCTGTCTAAAGAAGGTATTTGAAATGAACAAATCATTGATTTTCCAGAATTCTATCATGCGATCTCCAAGCATCATTTCTGTCACCAAGACCATATTTTCCAACTACTGATTCTTCCTCTTTGCTCCCAACCTTTGCATTCCATTTACCAGTAATGATCAATACATCTGGATTGCATGTTTGATCGATTTCAGAAGTTGGTAGAATTCTTCTATTTCATCCTCACTGACTTTAGAGGTGGGTGCATAAATTTGAATAATAGTGGTATTAACTGGGCTTCCCTGTAGGCTCATAGATATTATCCTATCACAGATAGCTTTGTACCTCATGACTGATCTGGATATGTTCTTTTTGACAATGAATGTAACACCATTCCTCTTCAATTTGTCAGAGGTAGCCCAATGGAATGCGGAAATCATTGGAAAATCTCTGATATTCCATGCGAGTAAAGTTTTACTAAAGGTATACAGAAACAGCTGCAAGCATACATTGACAGAGAACTTCCAGAGGTTCAAGCCAGATTCAGAAGAGGCCTTGGAACGAGAGATATCATTGTTGATGTCCGGTGGATATTGGCTGAAAGCAGAGAATATCAAAAAGATGTTTACCTGTGCTTTATTGACTACACAAAGGCTTTCGATTGTGTGGATCATGACAAGCTATGGACAACATTGCGAAGTATGAGTATTCCAGAACACTTAATTGTGCTCATGAGGAATCTGTACCGGGACCAAGAGGCAGTTATTTGAACAAAACATGGGAACACTGAATGGTTTAAAATTAAGAAAGGTGTACGACAGGGTTGTATTCTCTCACCATATTTATTCAACCTGTATGCTTAGCAAATAATCTGAGAAGCTGGCTTATATGAAGAAAAACATGGCATCAGGATTGGAGGAAGACTCATTAACAACCTGCGATATGCAGATGATACAACCTTACTTGCTGAACGTGAAGAGGACTTAAAACATTTACCGATGAAGATAAAAGAGCACAGCTTTCAGTATGTAAAGAAAACAAAAATTCTCACCACTGGACCAATAAACAACATTGTTATCAACGGAAAAAAGATTGAAGTTGTCAAGGACTTCATTCTTTTTGGGTCCGTTATCAACACTCATGGAAGCAGCAGTCAAGAAATCAAATGACATATTGCATTAGGCAAATCTGCTGCACAAGACCTTTTTAAAGTGTTGAAGAGCAAAGATGTCAACTTGAGGACTAAGGTGCGCCTGACTCATGCCATGGTATTTTCTTTTCTTGTTTTGTTTGTCATCTTGTCTAGATGGGTCTGGTAAAAAGAGATGGGGATAAGATTCTTATGATTCAATAGTGAGTAATTGTTATCATTACTGTCACAATTGTAAAGGTAGAAGTTTTGTTACAAAAATGGGGAAGTTAATCTTACAGTCCAGAAACAGAGGACCCTAGAACCATCAAGGGAGAAGAGCACAATCAGAATGCGGGACCTTATCCAGAGAAGCAGCAATACCAGAGATGGAGGCAGAGATGGGGACATGGAGAGAGGGAGCAGCTGAAGACTCTAGATTCATGGGAAGAGAGGGACTGAGAGCTGGCAGCCAGGAGGCAGACTTGCAGAATGTGCCCTTTGGTGCTTTAAATTATTATATATGCCTGAGGGTTTAAAAAAAAAAGTTAAAATCAGTAGAGAGAAATACATTGAAAGGATTATAACCATTGCAACAAAACAAAGCATAGGATTTGTTGAATGTGAAACTGATGATCTGTGTAATCAATTCACAATAAAAATTTTAAGAAAAACAACCCTATACAGCAGGGTGAGGGTGAGTTGGAACCAATTTGATGGCACTTAAAAACAACAACAATGCAATGGAAGGAGTCCTGGTGTGACACTGTAGATAAGCACTGGACTGCTAACTGCAAAGTCAATCGTTCAAATGCACCAGGTGCTCCTGGAAAGCTCTACACAGGGTCGGTATCAGTTGGAAACAACTCTACAGCACAGAACAGCAACAATGTAACGGAAGAAGGTATTGGAGGCCGGGAGGTGGGATTCTTGCCTACCATGCAGGCAGCTTGGGTTTGATTCTTGGCCATTGCACCTTAGGTACAGCCACCACCTGCCCCTCAATGAAGGCTTAGGTCAGGGGGGAGGAATGTCCAGCCCGCGAGCTGCATAAGGCCCATGAAATCATTTGGTCTGGCCCTATCAAGGCCTCCGCGGTTCAGCCATCATATTAGGGATGAGCCAGTGAAATGTTTAACCAAGTATAGCAATCTAATTTTTTTGTTTTTCATCTTAACATGATTCCCCTCTTTTACCCATTCAAACAATGCCTCAATCCCTATGTCCTGAAGCCTTGTTATTCCAAGGTTATGCATACATCATCATTTACCTCTGTCCCCTTAGCCCATGCAAACCTTCCCAACTGTTCTCCCATCCGCTTAGTCCTTCCATTCCCCTTCCCCTTCTTGTGTATTGACTGCCCCCGCCCCAGCACCCAAGCTATCCTATGTCTATTCCCTACCCTGTGCTCTATCTTCCCCTCCCTCCCTCCCCTCATCTCATCCCATATATCCCAGTGATCAACAATTACATATATAATTTTTCCCCCTTTTGGGTGGGTTCTTTTTCTTACTCTTTTACAATAATAGCCCTATGTAGTATTTCTCCTTTTGTGACTGACTAATTTCACTCAGCATAATGTCCTCAAGATTCATCCATGTTATGTGGTAGCTTGCAGCTTCCTTGTTGTTCTTCAGGGTAGCATAATATTCCATTGTGTGCATGTCCCACAGTTTGTTTATCCGTTCTTCAATTGATGGGCATTTAGGCTGTCTCCATCTTTTTGCTATTGTAAATAGTGCTGCTATGAACACTGGTGTGAATATCAGACTAATTTTGAAGTTGATAATTTTGTATGGCCTGTGAATGATGTTATAAATTTTGGCAGAAAAAAGGCACCCCACCCCTGGCTTATGTGTTGTTATGATGCTGAGCAGATATCAGTAGAGCTTCTAGACTTCCAAGGACCAGGAAGAAAGTCTGACAATCTGCTTCTGAAAATCAGCCAATGAAAACCCTTTGCCTCCCAGGGATCTGATCTGCAATCTCTCATGGGGATGGTGCAGGGCTAGGCAGTGTTTCATCCCCTTGTTATGGGCTTGTCGCGAGTCAGGGGCCAACTGCAGCCAACAGCAACAGCATAAAATGGAATAGCATGGTACCCTTAGACATAATCGAGACCTAGAAAAATGTCCACAGAAGGTTAAGGGAAAAAGAAAATGAAGAAACCAAGTTGTAAACGTTCTTTGTCATAGGACCTCTGAGTGATG